TTGACACCTCTCTTCCTCTGGGTGATGGAGATGCAGAAGATTACTCAAAGCCCATACTTCCCAGAACCCTCAAGAGAGAGGCATTCCTCCCTTGGGAAATTAACACTGAACTGGGGTTCTGTCTCAGTATTTATTCTCCAGGCCAGAAAGTTACAGAAAAAGAACATAGGTGGAGTTATGGCTAAGTATAGTTTAACAATAGAAGCTGGTAACATCAGTGAAGTAACAAAGTGATATTCCATAATGCAATTTGCAAAAGGCTAAGTCCATCCACCAACAAAAGCTTTTTCTTAGCAAATACTTTGTTTTTCTACAGCAGTTTCCTTAGTATGTTTACACAACAATAAAGCAACTTAACATATCAATTAGTAGGGTAACCTGCTCCAAGGGCATCTGTCCTTGCCATGTTACAATTTTTTATCCATATCAGAGACTTTACCCTGGGGAAAGTTTCCTGTCTTTTGCAAAGTTAACATTTCTATATGTAATTTAAAGAAGTTAGGTTAAACCTGAAACTACAGGGCTTTGGAAACCAGGCCCTGTGAAATACATTTGCTTTATAAATGTTAGTGTACTCCACATTTGCTGTATTGGATCTTAGAGGAAAAGCTTTCTGTTTTTCCCCATTGGTTATGATTTTAGCAGTGGGCTCTTCATAAAAGGCCTTTATTATGTAGAGAAACTTTCCTTGTATGAAAGTAACTCAAAAGTTCATGGAAAAATAGGATTGGCAGATAGTACAAATCTTTCCATGAAATTATTGAAGTACCCTCATATACTTATTTTGTTGAGAGTTTTTATCATGAATGACTGCTGAATTTTGTCAACTGCTTTTTCTACATCTATTGAAAAGATCATGTGGTTTTTATCATTCATGCTGCTCATGTGGTGTAACACATTGATTGATCTGCATTTGTTAAACCAATCTTACATCCCAGTTATAAGTACAACTTGGTCATGCAGTATCATCTTTTTGATGTGTTGCTGAATTTGGTCTGCTATTATTTTATGGAGGATTTTCACATCTATGTTTATCAGAGGTATTGTCCTATAGCTTTCTTTTCTGGTGGTGTTGTAGTCTGGCTTTGGTGGCAGGGTGATGCTGGCCTCATAAACTGAGTTTGGAAGTATTCTCTTGACTTGTGTTTTTGGAAGAATTTAAAGGTGACTAGTACTAATTCTTCTTGGACCATTTGGTGGAATTCAGTGTGAAGCCATCTGGTCCTGGGCTTTTCTTTGTTTGGAAGTTTTTGATTGCTACTTTAATCCCCTGTTTGTTACTGTTCTGTACAGACTTTCTACTACTTCTTGATTCAGTGTTGGTAGTTTGCTAGGAATTTATCCATTCATACTAAGTCAACCAGCTTGTGGACAAATAATTACTCATAATAATCTCTTGTGATTCTTTTTATTTCTGAAGTATCTATTGTAATATCTCCTGTTTTACTTCTAATCTCATTTATTTGAGTTTTCTCTCTTTTTTTCTTATTATATGTCAGTAAGGGTTTACCATTTTGTTTATCTTTTTAAAAAACCAACACTTAGTTTCATTTATACTTTCTATTTGTTTTTCTAGTGTCTATTTCATTCATTTATGCTCTGATCTTTATTATTTCCTTCCTCCAGCTAACTTTGGGTTTAGTTCTTCTTTGTCTAGTTTCTTGAGGTGTAAAGTTAGGTTGTTTATTTAAGATATTTCTTCTTTTTAAATGTAGGCATTTATCACTATAAACTTTCCTCTTAGAACTGCTCTTGCTGTATCCCATAAGTTTTGTTATGTTGTGTTTTCATTTTCATTTGTCTTGAGATATTTTTTAAATTACCTTTTGATTTCCTCTTTTACTCAGTGAATTTTGAAGAGTGTGTTATTTAATTTCCATACATTTGTGAATTTTTCCATTTTCTTGCTATTATTGATTTCTAGTTTTATTCCATTATGGATGGAAAAGATACTTGGTATGATTTTGATCTTTTTAAATTTGTTAAGATTTGTTTTGTAACCTAACATATGCTCTATCCTGGAGTGTGTTCCATGTGCACTTAAGAAGAATGTGTATTCCTCTGCTCTTGTATAGAAAGTTCTGTATATGTCTGTTAGGTACATTTAGCCCACAGCACTGCTCAGGTCCCCTGTTTCTTTACTGATTTTCTGTCTAGATTTGCAATTCTATTGCTATTTCTCTACTTCAGACCTTTCAATATGTGTTTTATACAAGAGGATGCCTCAAAAAGTTCACATAGAAATAGAATTGAAAGATATTACAAATCTTTCCATGAACTTTTTGAAGTACACTTGTACTTAGGTGCTCAGATGTTGGACACACATATTTTTATAATTACTTAATATTTCTATGGAAATGACCCTTTTGTCATTATGTAATGACCTTCTTTGTCTCTAGAGATAGTTATTGACTTAAAGTCTGCTTTACCTAAGTATAGCAATTCATGCTCTTTTTTTGGTTTTTATTTCCATGGAATATTTTTTCCATCTCTTTACTTTCAATCTGTGTGTGTCCTTGGATCTAACGTGAGTTTCTTGTAGATTCATGCACTTGGATCTTGTTTTTTTATCCATTAAGCCACTCTGTATACTTTTATAACAGAGTTTAGTCTATTTATGTCTAAAGTAATTATTGATAGGGAAGGATTTACTACTGTCATTTTGTTAACTTCTTTCTGTTTGTCTTGTAGTTCTTCTGTCTCTCTTTTCCCTCCTTCCTATCTTCCTTTGTGCTTCTTCTTTTTTTTTTTTTTATTCCTAAGTTCTGGTTCCTTCTTTTTCTTTTGTGTAACTTCTATAGTTATTTTCTTTGTAGTTTCTGAGTGGATTACATAAAATATAGTTATAGCAGCCTATTGTAAACTGATAACAACTAAACTTCACTTTCATATAAGAACTCTCTGCTTTTACCTCTCTTCCTTCCATATTATATGCTATTAATGTCCCAATTTACACCTATTTATATTATAAATCCATTAACATAATTTAGTCATCACTGTTTTCAATACTATGGTCATTTAACTTGTCAGTTTCTGAAGCTGTATCACGTTCTCTTGTTTAGAACATTCCTTCCCTGTTTCTTCATTTTCCTTAACTCTCTGTATTGGTTTCTGCACATTAGATAAAACAGCCATCTCTTCCAGTCTTTTCAGAACAGCCTTATGTAGGAGCTGGACCTCACCAATTAGCCTGTCTAGTAACTCTAGGTGCCTCTCAAACCTTTTTGTTTGTCCAAACTGCTGTCTTAGTTCCCAGTGGCCCCCAGGAGATTAGAGTGTGCCAAGTTCTTAGGTGCCCCAATACAGGCAAGATAGAAGCCAGTCCCTCAACATGCCGATGGAAAAACTGAGCTGCTAGATATGTGGTCCACTTCCTTCTCTCCTCAGAGATAAGCTGGGGACTGGTATTTTTCTCCCACTCACTCTGCACTAAGCCACATAGAAGATCTGTGGCAAACACCTACAATCTCTTTCAGACTTCACACTCTTACAACCCATCTCTTTGCTTGCTCTTTGTCACCCCAGGGGCCTACCAGCTCTTAAGGACAGGAGGGTTAATTGGAAGCTTGCTTTTATCTCTGGAGAGAGCCAGGGGGAGGATCTGTGGGAAGGGCCCGCTCACCCATGGTTTCAGCTCTCAGAGGACTGCTCATTTGCCAGCCCCACCATTAGTTCCTACATGAGGGGTAATTACAAGTCTGACCCACAGGCAGTAGTTGGGAAAGTTGGAATGTTAGAAATGCATTCAAACCCCTATCAGTGAGAAGCTGGCAGCTGGGTGTTAGAAATGCATTCAAACCCCTATCAGTGAGAAGCTGGCAGCTGGGTGTTAGAAATTCATTCCAACCCCTATCAGTGAGAAGCTGGCAGCTGGGTGTTAGAAATGCATTCCAACCCCTATCAGTGAGAAGCTGGCAGCTGGGTGTTAGAAATGCATTCAAACCCCTATCAGTGAGAAGCTGGCAGCTGGGTGTTTTTGCCTGCTAGCTCTGCATTGAGCTAGAGGAAATAGCCACTGGCAGTGCTTCCATGCCTGTTTCAAATGGTCTTTGTCATTTCTGTGGGCTCAGGGTGACTCAGGAATACCAGACCAAGGTGATTTAGGATCCAGTCCCTTTGAGGAGAGCTGTAAAAGCTGGCGTGCTTCATATGGGGACCATCTCACTCCAGGAAGAGTCTGGAGACTTGGTTTTACTGCTAGAGCAAGGGGCGGGGAAGACGGCATGGGAAGAATGAAAATCAGCCCCACAGAGCAGAGAGCTGAGGAATCTGAACCTTACAATAGAGCTGATCTCTGCAGCCAACTTCCCCCAGAGGCCCTAAAACTGAGTTGTGGAGGTTTGTTTCTGGAGAAAAGAGAAACATCAAAATTTTACAACTTACTTTCCTACTTTAAAACAGTTCTGTGTTTTTGACCAAAAAGTCTAGAAAATGGGTCATGATTCACAGTAGGGAAGGGGAGATATCTTAATAGCCTCTTGTTCTCATGCCAGTGGTCCCTGTTTCATACTTAAGCCTTCACTGCCCACCTAACCCATAATGGATGAGGCACCAGACTAAACCACGACTTTGTCCTCCTGGGTCATCTGAAAGAATTGTGGGCCAATAAGAATCATCATTACTGAGGGTAGACATGCTGTGCTATGCAAAATGAGACTGAAGTGCATAGTAACTAGAGGCAGCATGCCATGAGACAGCTCTCTTTGAGGAAGACAGACACATAGGAGATGATTCAGGAAGAGCTGACTAGATGGATCCTAACACAGCAGGAAGAAAAAACAGTGTTTTCCATCCATCTTGAGAAATTTAACCAGGTAAACAAACTAGCCTAATCTGATAATTGCCTATTTATTAGGACAAACAATAACAAGGAAAGACTGTTGCATCTGATGACAGCAGCCCCTTAGCAGGGTATAAAAGGCACATGAAGCAAGAAGACTTCCAGACCTTACAAACCTACCTTCCTGGAAACTCACCCAGAACCTCCACCCTCTGACACCATGGTCAACTCCTGTTGTGGCTCCATCTGCTCTGGCCAGGGCTGTGGCCAAGAGAACTGCTGCTGTCCTACCTGCTGCCAGACTACCTGCTGCAGGACCACCTGCTGCCGTCCCAGCTGCTGCGGTTCCAGCTGCTGTCGCCCCAGCTGCTGCATCTCCAGCTGCTGCCGCCCCTCCTGCTGTGGTTCCAGCTGCTGCCGACCCACCTGCTGCCAGACCACCTGCTGCAGGACTACCTGCTGCCGCCCCAGCTGCTGTGGCTCCAGCTGCTGCCGTCCCTCTTGCTGTGGATCTAGCTGCTGTGGTTCTGGCTGCTGCCGTCCCTCTTGCTGTGGTTCTAGTTGCTGTGGTTCTGGCTGTTGCCGCCCCACCTGCTGCCAGACCACCTGCTGCAGAACCCAATGCTACCGCCCCAGCTGCTGTGTGTAGCTGTTGCTGCCCAAACTGTTGCCAGACCACCTGCTGCTGTCCAATCTGCTCTAGTGATTATTGCTGATGAGCACTCTGATCTGCACTCACCTGTTTTTTGCCAACCAATATTCTTGATGTAGTTTATTTATGAGCTGAATCATGGGAGACCAATTGTAAAACCTCTTTTCCAACTGAATCTTAAGTTGACTTATGCCTCCATATGTGCTGTTCTCCCTACCTCCACCATTTCTCTCTCTCTCTCTCTCTCTCTCTCTCTCTCTCTCTCTCTCTCTCNAATGAGCAAAAACCTCCAGATGAGGGGGCTGCTATACGCTGAGGGTAATTACCTGGAGAACAGTGCGGGTGAACAGTGTAAAGGAATCTGGACAGATATCATATAGTCCACCACGGCACTTCTCAGGTTCACCCCTTTCTCTCATTAGCTCAATCCAACTAATTAATCATAATTTCCAGAGAAAATTACAAGAGAACATTAATGAGCAGCACTTCTGCTGGTCTAGGTGACTTGCCAAGTAGAGTAATATAGGTCCTCATCCTGAAAGTTCTGTGCCCTTAATTACTAGGTTCTTATTGAGCTATAGCCATTGCACTTGCCCATTTGTAGAAAAAACTGGAGACAGAAATGCCGAGAATGTCCCAGTGGATCGCCTAAGGGCCAAATACTCCTCCCTGTTCCCACCGTGTAGCAGCGGTCCTCCTTCCTCATGATGATGAGGTCAGTTGCAATGTGAATAGCTCCTTTCTTTCCCTACT